GGGAAGCACTGTCAAATAAGTGATGCTAAATGTTCTTAGATTATATTTGTGTGTATATATTTTATTAATAAAAATGTTATGTGAAATTCTTAGAAATGACATATCCTGGTATAATGATTATCAGTCATTAATAAAGCCAATAAAGCCCTTTGGAAAAATCAGCATGATAATGTGCTTATAAGGTTCCTGGCAGTCTTACTAGGTGAGTAAGAAAGGTCACTTCCTGGCCTGCTCAGATGTTTTGGGCACCTCAAGAAGAGAGGAATTTTACCCAAATCTATAGGCAGTGCAAGCAGTCTGATGGCAAGACGTTGGCTTGGCTTCTTAAAGTTGAGAGGCTTTAAAAGTTCAATCTGAACCTTAAATAGACAAAGTGATCGAAACAGCATAGGACTACAACAGAAAAAAAACCACATCAATCAATGGAACAGAATACAATAGAGAGCCCAGAAAAATACCATGCTTATATGGTCTATTAACATATCAGAAAAGAGGCAAGAATACATAATGGGGAAAAGATGGTCTCTACAATAAATGGTGCTGGGAAAACTGGATAGGTACCTGTAAAAGAATGAAACTGGATCACTGTCATCCATCATACACAAAAATAAGCTTTAAATGGAATAAAGACCTAAATATAAAACTTGAAACCATAAAACTTTTAGAAGAGAACATAGGTGGTAAAGTCTGGAACATTGGCATTAGTAATTTTTTCAGAATATGCCTCCCAGGCAAGGGAAATAAAAGCAAAAATAAACATTTGGGACTATATCAAACTAAAAAGCTTCTGGACAGCAAAGGACACCATTAACAAAGTGAAAAGGCAACCTACTGAATGGAAGAAGACATTTGCAATGATATATCTGACAAAGGGTTAATATCTAAAATATATAAAGAACTCATACAACTCAACACCAAAAAAAACCCACACAATCCAATTAAAAAATGGGTAGAGGACCTGAATAGCCAGTCTTCCAAAAAAGAAATTCAGATGGCCAACAGGCAAATGAAAAGATGCTCCACACCTCTATTCATTAGGGAAATGCAAATCAAAACCACAATGAGATAACACCTCACACCAGTCAGAATAGCTACTATGCAAAAAGCAAGAAATAACAAGTGTCGTGAGGATATGGAGAAAAGGGAACCCTTTGTTGGTAGGAAAGTAAATTGGTTTGCCACTGTGGAAAACAGTATGGAGGTTTCTCAAAAAATGAAAAATAGGAATACCATATGACCCTGTAATTCCATTTCCGGGTATTTATCCAAAGAAAACAAAATCATTACTTTGCAGATATATGCACCCCCATTTTCAATGAGCATTATTTACAGTAGCAAACATATGGAAGTAACCTAAGTGTCTATGATGAGATGAACGGATAAAATGTGTTAGATATACACAATGGAATACTACTCAGCCATAAAAAATAATGAAATCTTGCCATATGTAACAACATGGATGGACCAAGAGGGTATTAGGCTGAGTAAAATAAGTCAGATAGAGAAAGACAAATACCATTTAATTTCACTTATAAGTGGAACCTAAAATAATAAAGCAAATGAACAACAACAAAAAACAGAAATAGATTTACAAATATAGAAAACAAATTGGTGGTTGCCATAGGGAAGGGGTTGGGAGGATGGGTGAAATACGTGAAGGGGATAAAGACACACACACTTCCGGTTATAAAATAAATAAGTCATGGGATGAAAAGTATAGCATAATGAATATAGTCAGTTTTATAATATCTTTATATGGTGACAGATGATAACTACAGTTATCATGGTGAGCATTTTGTAATGTATGTAATTGTTAAATAACTATGTTGTACACCTGAAACAAATATAATATTGTATATCAACTATACTTAGACAACAACAAAAAATTATAGCCCAATCTGAGATTCTTTATGAAAAATTTCAGGAAAGCAGATTTAAAAGAGCCTATATGATCAATCACTATTCTTGTTAACTCATGTAAATAATCAGTCCAAGTTTATTGAAATGGCTTAATTTGCAACCAAATTAATCTTACTGTGGTTACTTTTTATAAAAATGGGGAGGACTGTAGATAGAAAAGTTATGTTTCATTAATACACCTTTGTGGATATCAAATTCAAGTGCTATTGTCATTGGGGTTTGGGTTTCTAACTGTAAATTAGACTAGATCCTGAAGTCTTCCAGTTTCCCCCATATTTGGTTATAACTCTTAAAACTGACATTTCCCATTTTTTCCCACCCTCTGACTTGGAATCATTGAGAGCTAAAACTGTCCTATTCCTGAAGTCATGCAAGCCAAAGGTGCACGACTTGATACGAACTTTAGAAAAATCACAGCAGCTCATGTACAGACAATCTATGTGCCTGGTGCTGTGTGGGCCACTCAGAAAGATCACCAGATGAAATATCAAATTTCAAACTGCAAACCACGAATATCTATCAGACTGCTAGTCCCTGTCTTCATTCCTTGTTAAGATGCTTCATACCAGTCAGTCTTCTCAACTGGTTACTGTCAGAACACAGCAATTTATAATCTGCTCCAACAATTAACCTTTCTTTTACTTTTGTTTCCATAGAAATGCCTCTTATCAAATACCTGATTGCATGCACTAGACTTGGAAGCCAACCTCCTAAAATGAGATACAACTGTACCTGAACTGCTTCTGGACTATGAAACTTCTAGGGATGGGGCTGGAGAAGAGGCTGAAGAGGACCAGAATACATGACCCCAAAATATGCCACTTTAGCAAGTAGATTATTTTGAGCTGAAGGCAATCAAGACCCAGCAGACTCAAGAAAAACTTTACCTTTCCCTTAACTACCTAAAAGAATTTAGATAGACAGAGAGCTAATTAGCAGACATAACTTTTATCTGAATGACATATCTGTATAGCAGGACAAACATCTAATTACCAAACATCTGCTTTTCTTTTTGTTCTGTGAATTACCCTCCTTCCATTTGAAGCCTCTGACCCCAATCCCATTCCTTACCTCAGAATGGCATATAAACCTTACCTGCCCGACTTGCCCTTGGGTCTCATATTTCTGTGGGGTTCCCATACATATGAAATTAAATTTTTCTATTAATATGTCTTATGTCAATGTAATTATTAGACCAGCCAAAGAACCTAAAATGATACTCCCCTACACTGGATCTTCAATAAAAGTCACTGTGTAAATAATGGAGCTAGCCTTTAAAAGTCATGTTTTTGAAGTTGTTTCACATTCTAGAGACTAAAGAGATGTTTCTTTCTTTCCTTTAAGGGTGAAGGCTTAATGGTTCTTCTGCATAGCCAGAAACGAGCAAACACTAGACAAATTTACAAAGCAGACAAAATTTGTCCTTCCAGAACTACTACCTCCTACTTGTTTTGAAGTTACTATAGAGCATATTGAATCCTAGGTCCATATGAACACTCAAATCTACTCCCTACCCCACCTTTTCTTTGTCCTAATTTCTAGGATCTTCTTTTCTACTAGAAAATTACCTGTCAAATTAAAAAGCTCAGCTCAGTAAAGATTTGCAAAAATATAATCTGGAGAAACAACTAATAATGTAAGCTTTTTGGCATACAACATTGAGTGGGAAAGCAGGCTTCTTTTCCAGAGGTTCCAGTTACCTTCCCTCTACAGAGTCAATCCTGAAGAAGACATACTTTCATTTCCAAAAAAATTATTGTCCTATTTTTCTATGACTTGAAACATCTAATAATAAACGTCCTGAATAACTAAGGCTACATGCATCTCAGGAAATTGTTCCTAGTCTGAAAGTAAGATTCTACTAAGAGGTACCCATCAGGGCAAAAGAAACCTCAGTGTAGTCATCAATATCATGTTTAAGATCGTATGGAAAATATTTTAAAGGATGTATATTTTGAGGATGTGGTTAAAAACTCACCATATCCACTTTAAACTATGCTTTGACTAATGACAGGATATAATTCAGGATATTACTTACTCACTGTCAGTTCCATAGAGTCTCCAGATTTCTTATAGCAGTGACAAAACTGAAAAATTTAGAACCAGTAAGTGTTCTTTCTGATTCCACTTATCTCTTGGTTAATTGAGTTCTCCCACTGTCTGCCTATTTTTTCTCCATAGCCCTTAGTGATTACATGGTATATTTTTTGTTTATTAGCTGCTTTGTTTATTGCCTATCTCTACTCAACTTGGGAAAAAAATGTAAATTCTGTGGAGGTGCTTAATAAATATTTGATGAATGAAAGGGAACAATGACACCAGTGTATTAGTAGGGTGGTAATAGTCAAGCAGGGATTCTCTTACAACAGAACAACATGAGAGAAGATGAATTACTGATAGAAATGCCAGAATCTGTCTGTATCTACATCTGTATATGTATTTCCATATCTATACACTTGAAAGCAATGTTAATTCCTTTCATTTCAAACAATTATTAGCATTTCGATTGATAAAGGTAGTATATAGTGAAATACAGTTGATATTTTGCCTCTTAAGGCTTTTTAGTTTATATTGTTATTTAATTTAAAGATGTCTTTTTATAAGTCACTTTAAATCAGTGTTGGAAGTGAATGGAATATGCATTTTACTAAAAATGACATTTTAATTGGAAAAACATTTATTGCTTACAGTACTAGATGCTTGAAAGTAAGTGTATGCTGACCTATCCTCACTTTAAGATTTCTGTTCTCTGGGGAATTGAAAGCATAGGAAAATACTGACTGAGATAGGCACTCCCAACAATGAACTAGCATATTCTCTTTACTATCAGTCAAAAATACAAGAATGTTGATAAGAGAACTATGACAAGACCCTTAGTTCAACTAGTTTAGCTTCTAGTTAAAACTGAATATCAGATTTTCTATAAATCTATGTTTGATGGAGGTGCTTGCTAATTTATCTTCTCTGTAGACCACATGCAAGAGCCTTTTGATTTCCACAATTACAAAATACACTGAAAGAAAACTAATTTTGCTAGCAAGTAGCCCCAGTTATTTAGTCACTGTTCTTTTATCTCCTACCTTTCCAACATTGTTTATCACTCCACTCACTCCAAATTCCATCATCTGCGCAATAAATATTCACTTTGCTTCTTACTAAAAAGCATAATTGCTGGCTTTCATTTGCTGTTCTTGTGATGTATACCTCATTTTCAACTGCGGTAGTCTGAAAGCCAAGGAAAAAATAAGATGCCATTATTTGATCTAATTGTAGGCTAGACAGATCACACTTGGTTTGCCACTTTCATAGTGGGTTTTGTTACATAAAATATATCAAATGACTAGAAAGATACATTCCAAAATCCTAACAGTGATTATCTCTCTATATGGTGGGTTCTTTTTCATTTTTCTTCCATTCCTTATCTGTATTTTAACATTTTTTTCTATACTGATAATGGATCACTTGTAGTAAACGGCATGTGTGACAGGGCAAAATTCCTAGGTAGCTTTGCTGTTTATGATACCCAGTATTTAGATTAGTGTCAAATTTCCCAGATTCCATAAACTGGAAAATGCTACACATACTAAATTAGCAAAAAGACAGAGCTATCATGTGAATACTGTTTCTATGGAAACTATAGAGTTTATACACACAGGGCTTTTTTTCTCTCATTCTTATTTTTGTTAACTGCCCCATGATCTGTGTAACAGTGCTCAGGGCTTGGCATGAAACTACCCCTTCAGATATGAGAACACATAAGGCTGGACTATCTCAAGGGAAATATAAATTACTGAAGCAATTACTTCAATTTTGCATTTCAAAGAGCTGAAGAGTGTTTCTTATCCAAGATAACAGCTTTTCTTTCGTTGCAACTTTTCTTGGGAACCAGTGTACCATAGTGGACTGGAAATAAGACCTGGATTCTCATTCTAGCTGTGTTATTTGATTGTAAATCAATTCAAATCAATTCAACTCCCAGTTTTCTCATCTGTATATGAAGTGACTTGGTTATCTCTAAGGTCCTATGTTGCTTTAAAATTAGTATGATTGATTATGCTTTCAGACTGCAAGAATCTTTCTTTCATCTGCTAGATTATCTGGTTTATGGAAATTAAACTAAGATACTGTCAGGTTCTATTCCTCATGTGGATAGCAACTGACTTTGGTTTTCATGTTTGCTATTTTATTTAAAAAGTAACATTTATGGCTTTCCCAAATAAATGCAATGTCCATACCACCCAGGTAGTATCATCTTCTGTGAACTCAATTTCATAAATCAAACAGTTTGCTGGAATGGGTCCCTCAGGCATGCTCCATCTTAGGTTAATTTCCTCTGAGTTCTTCACAGTAAGACTAAGGAAGTTTGGTGGCAAAGGTTTAACTGAAAAGCAAAAGAAAAGCACTTCAACAGGAAGTTATTGGAGTTTAGCAATAGCCTTTACCAAAAGCTAGGGACATCTGGTAATAGAATCCTCCAGGATAATTCCTCTATAATTATTATTCTCATAATGTAAATTAAAATCAAAGTTGCTTGCCAACTGTGGGGTAAATGGCATAGTTTTCAGAATCTTCTAACCTGGCCTTAGTCCGTTTACATAATGGGTGTTTACTACTGCAGCCTCCAGCTGTCTTGGCAGATCTGCAGCAAGGGGTAAAGAGAAAACGGCCATTCTCTCCTCCCCTTTGTTCCTGGTACATAATTGGTCTGGCGCCTGCCAGTCACCAAGGACCTGCCCATGGAGTTCCTCCAGGAAGGGGCAGGGTGGGGAGTAGAGAGCATGCCATGGTTTTAGAGAAATGGAGCACAGAGCAGGTTTTGCTAGCAGGGACTGGGGAGAAAGGACTTGGGGAGCATACATGTCACTGCCAGAGGGGACAGAGCCAGGCCTGGCTAGCAAATTCCAGCAAGCTGTAAGCAATAACAATGGTTTCTCCCAACCTACCCTTCCCTTTGCCTTACTTGGTTTCACCAAATTCATAGGGGAGTTTGTTCCAGGAGGTGGACCCCCTTCCCCCCAAGCCACACCAACCAAGATTAACCTAAGAAACTTGGTTATTTTGGATACTAATTTTTTGATAAGTCAAATGTTGATAAATATTTAAACCCAAGGGAGAAGTTAGAAGATCCAAATCATTATTAGTCATTTTTCGATTTTGTAGCATTAGAAACAACTACCACAATCATAACTACTCTTTGTATTAATAACTAACTCTTATTTAGAGCTTGTGATGTGTCAGGCATGGAATCAGGGATGTTATATCATAAACTCATTCATGTCTCACAATGAACCTGTGAGATGGTGCTCTTATTATCCTCATTTTACTGATAAAGTAATTGAAACAAGCTAAAAGTAACTTGGCCAAAATCATACAGCTAGAAAGTGGTAAATCCCAAGATTCAGACACAGATATGGTTGACTCTAGAACCCATCATTCTTGTAATTGTTAGAACTAACACAGACTGAGAAAATATTGAAACATGTGCTTATTGAGGCCTGGGAATAAATGATTCCATACTCTATCAATAACACTAGACAAAAATACTATATAGCAGACTAACTCTTTGAAGCTGGGAAATAAATTATAAGTTCTAAATGAAAATGATGTTTTTCCCTTCATTCAATTCCTCATCTTCCATGCTTTTATATTTAATAAACACTTCCTCATATGCTCTGCCCTGTCAGCCTTCCTTTTTCTGGTTTTGCCTTCCCACAAGTATCTATGTGTATCTGTATCTCTTCTCTTCCATGTGGTTGTAAATGGCCTAAACTATTGAAGTTGTTTACTTCACCTTTATTTTGAAGCTGAAAAATGAAATAGCTGGATCTGATAGACTGCGATTCTGATGATCCATTAACACAGATGTAGAAATCTTTATAGTCTGATGACTTCAAATAGGGAAACCTGCAGCCAATATTTTTTCCATTAACCATGACATAATCAGCACACTGTAATGCATGTTCCAAGCCCTCATACCTGTAAAAAGAAGTGTTGTAAGAATTGTGTCTACCAGTTATCTTCTAGTATCATGGTGCTCAATTTTCAATTAATTTAAAATACCAAGTGAATAAAAAAAAAATCATTTAAGAACATGCAATATTTATTGAGCACTATGTGCCAGATCCTCTAAGTGCTAGGGATACAACAGTAAGGAAAGCAAACATAGTCCATGATTTCATGAGCTTACGATCTGGTGGGAGTCTTTACAAAATCTAGAAATAAGGCAAGGTTTCTTACAAATGTACTTAGTAGAATTGTGAATAAAGACTAAGATTCCCATTAAGAAAATCTGGGGTTAATATAGATAGTCCTGGATGATACTGCCTTTTTAATATTGTATTAGCTTATATTAAAAGAAAGCAGACTTATAAAATACTGCTAGTGTTTAATAAAATGAATGAAATTCTGGGGGTAAAATACACACTAAGAGATAAACCTCAGAAAAGCCAATGGGGCCAAAAAGAAAAAGAGAAGCTGTTTGGCAAATAAATATCTAATTTCCCATTCTCTTAGACAAGAAATGTTGCCATATCATTGAAAGTTAACCTCTTTCCAGTAATAAAGCTAATGGGAATTAGGGGGGATTTCTCTCCCTATTTCCAAGCAACAAAATGCCTGGTTTATTTTCCTAAACAATAGATTGCAAATACAAAATGTGACATTCTCTGTAAAGCAGCCAAAATCCCTTTTGAAATGAGGTCAGTCTCACAGCTGATAAAGTGCTGGTATAAATATCTGGACTGGACTGAATTCACTCTATGCTAAGTATTTACTTTGGGCAGAGTTTGTAAAATTGTAGTCTATTGGTTAGTTCACCTTACTCAAATTTGGGAGACTTGAGTTCTAGACTTGACTTTTACAAAGATTTACTTTGTGTCAGTGAGAAATCTCATGCTACTCTTATTTTCCAGTCTCTAAAATGTTAATATTCACCCTCACTACTTTACTAAGATGCGGGTAAAGTTATGTCAAACATGAACTACAATGTATAAGAAGGCAGGGACTTTGTCTTATTCACACTTTCATTCTTTTTATCTAGAACACTGCCTAGCATTTAACAATTGCTTCATATTTGTTGAATTAATGAACAAGTAAGCTAGACCTCAGAAAATGGTCCATCCACTTCCACATGAAGAAACTGAGACCCCCACAAAAGGGAAACTGCTTGCTCAAGACTACCATGTTAAATGACGCCAGAGCAGGGATCAGAACCCAGTTCTTAAGATTGTTCATAGTTTATACCTTATCACTTACATATTACGATTTTCTAAAGAAAAACACCATGATAATTTGGACCTGAAACTCATGAAGAGTAACACTTTGTCCTGTCTTGTTTTTTCTGTTTTTTAACAAATGCATAAATTCTGGTACTTACCAATTTACCAATGCCATTATCATTCGTTTCATTCATTTAATGAATATTTAGTGACAATCTATTATGGGCATAGCACAGAACAGATAGTCAAGAGAAATACAAGAAATAGTTCATACCCACCAATGTCTTAAAAGTTTATGAGGGGAGTCAAAGCATATATGTATAACAAAAATTTAAATGCCATCTGGACAATAAGTAATTAAGAGCTATTTTAAGTAATAGTTCAGAGAAAAACTGAAAGAAAAGCTGATGTGATTAGTAAAGGATTCATGAAATTGAATACCAGATGGGCCTTGAAAGATGGATAAGAGTTGGTGAGAGAGACGGGCCATTCCAGACTGCAGTGCACACACAGGCATAAAAAATTATAACATGGGTGAGAAAGAAATGTAGAGATGGATCTAAATGGAGTGGAATATTCACGCCAGTGATAGTAGAAAACAGTATTGGAAAAGCAGTGATACAGTGAGGCAGAGACTTGAATGCCAGCCTAGATTTTATCTCAAAGGCAATGAGTAGCTATGGGAGGTTTTTGGGCAGAAGAGTGGCAATGAGGTGAGCCTGAAGTAGAGTTCTTACAATAAATATGGGAAATAAAGAACAGATGTGCAACCTTGCAAAAGGGGTGTTAGAACATGGTAATCAATATTACCATGAAACAATTATAAATGGAGATAGAAGATTGAAGATGGCTCTAAGTTTAAAAACGTCAGTGACACTTAACAGGTAAGAAAGTCATAAAAAGGACCAGTTTTAATAGGTACCTGCTTTTTTAAAAAGCAAGAATATAAAATATGGCAAAAAATTTTAGGTTATAACTCCATCTATCTAAAGGATACAAAATTTAATTCAGTATAGAAACAATAATTGCATTCCTTTTTTTACCCAGTGTCTTCCAGTAGCTACAGCCTGAACCTATTTGCTACCATCGAAAAGCCCAAATAATAGTAGACAACCTTTATCATGATTACAACTCTGAAAAATACAATGAATTTAATTTTGTGAAAATACAGTTACTCATACTGTGGATTAATTTTGATAAATGTTTTCCTAATACAGAATTCTTATTATAAAAATACTTACCAGTAAAACAAGTTGTAATTGGTATCAAAATGGACATCCATGCCAGGTTTCCAAGAACAGAATAAATATTGCCAGTTGTAATATACACAATCCATATCCTGAATTTTAGTTTCCAGATTTCCTAAGAAATGAATGACCTGTGAATACTTGAGAGGCATGGTGATGAACCATTTGTGAAATCCTTACGTAATTTTATTTCATTTCTTTTGACCTCTCCATTTCGCTTAGCAATCAACATAATCAGGACTATTTCAAAAGGAAGCTGTTGGAAATCACTGTTAAGTGGAACATGCAAAATCAAAAACCTTTGAGGGTTCATTACTGATGCTAGTGTAAGCATATGCAAAAGTAGTGAACTAATGTAGCTGCTCTGAGCAGTTGAGCAAATAAATGCATATTTACTAATATGATGCAAAAGTTGGTAACTTTATTAATCTAATAAAATGTATATTTTGCCAAATGTGTTTGCTGATTTGAGAATTAAAAAAAGCTAGTCACCCACTTCTAAGGATTCTATTTTGTGGCACACTCTCACTTGTACATACAATGTGGTGTAGAAAAATTAAGGGACTTGTTCCCTACATGGGTTGTTCTGACAGTATTAATAAAAGACAGCTTTGTTTTAACCTTGTGGTGATATCCAGTAAATAGCTTCTGACCATGCACTTTGAACTTCTGATCCGTTTGTGCACTGCACTGGCAAAAGTGTGTGTATCTTTGCTTCAACGCCTTTGTTAAGGTCAAACCCATCTTTGTAATGTAGATTCCTAGTAATGATGGTCTGTTTGATAAAAGATGAGACAAAGTAAAGCTTAGAAATTGATGACATCATAAACCACATTAAAAAGGCTTAGAAGTCATTAATATCCCAGAGAGTTCCCAATATCTAAGAAATTACTGATGATTATCTGATACAATGTAACAGATAAATTTCTGGCATAGCTCACAGCTGTTTATCATTTGATTTTAATCTTAACATCTCATTCAAAAAAACCCAAAATATTCTAGAAGAGAAAAAAAGGCTATAGCAGGAATTTGAGCTATAACCAACTTGAAATTGAGATTATTTTCACATACCATATGTATATTACATAAGAAATGACTTATCATCTTTCAAATATCAGAGGAACTCTTCAGGAATCATATAAAGGAAAATCTTGGAAGTAAGTGGAGTAAGCCAGACAAATTGTGAGCTCCTGGACAACTACAATCATATATCATTTATCCTTATATTCTTGATACCTACAGAGTGCCTGGCACAAAAAGTTGCCCAATAAATCATTGATCTGAATTGTCCCTTTAAACAACTTAACTGAATTAGGAACGTAACAGAATGCCTTGTACAACAGAAATCTTTGAACATGCTTGTTGACTATGTAAGTAATTAATAATTCAATAAATCTTGAGTGCTTACTAAAATATATGCAAAGAACTATGCTGTGGGGAGAGTACAAAGATAAATAAGGCTTGATTCCTACAGAGATAAAGCTCATAATCTAGCATATGAAGGTTTATAAGGAACTGGAAAATATGGTAAAATGTTTAAGTACTCTTCAAGTCTATATTCCATGGTACCAAGTATTTTTTTTCTTGTACTTCCAATGACAGTCTTAATACTGGGTAGGATGAAAACAGATGTGGCAGGAAGCACAGGAAATAGCAGCAGGCATGGCAGCCTGTTGTACCTTAATAATAGCTCTTGAGGTATGGAAATTAGAGTGGATACTGACAACATGAATCACAAGAAAATTCCCAATAATCACTCTGCTAGTGCAAGTGTATGCTCTACTTACCTTCCAGTTTTCATTACCAATGTTTCGATATTTTAATACATATTCTACTGTGCATTCCTTAAAATTATCCAAAGACAGTGGAGGTTGCCATTGCAAACAGAGATAACCTAAATATCCAGGATCCACTATCTCAAATTCCTGAGGAGGATTAACTGAAATAAAATCAATAAAATATTTTTACTCTTTTCCTGTATTTTATGACAAAGATTGCCAAATCTAGATTACTTCCATATGTAATCTGATAAATGGGTAAGTAACAGTGAATATTAGTCAACCATAAGAAAGAAGTACTGACATATGCTACAATATGGACAAACCTTTAAAACATTAATTGAAAAGAAGCCAGTCACTAAAGACCACATATTATATGATTCCATTTACATGAAATATCCAGAATAGGCAAATCCACGGAGACAGAAAGCCAATTAGTGGTTGCCAGGGGCTAGAGGGGAAGGGAGAATGAGATGTGACTACTGAATGGATATGGGTTTTTTTCTGGAAGTGATATAAATATTCTGGAATTTGTAGTGCTGACTGTTAATACAACTTTGCAAATATACTAAAAACCATAGAACAGTACACTTTAAGAGGGTGAGTTTTATGTTATGTAAATTATATCTCAAAACTATTAAAAAATCTAGATTATTGCTATATAGTTATCCCCTCTTTAAGAAATCACATATGCAAAATGTGACTTTGTCTAGCAAGGTACTAAGTTTTCATAGAAACAAGAAATTCAACATGGAGTTATCTCTTTGGTCATACAGACCAGAATTTGGTCTAGGATGGAAACACTTTATTACATAAATTTCTCTAATAGCAAGAACCAATCAGTATTAATTCAGTGTTTACTGCACACATGTAACATCATGGAACATACAAAAAACGGCCAGAAAATATAAAATATGACTACTGTGGCTAAGTGCTTTAATAATTAAGAGAACAGATAGATCTTGCCACTTCAATCTGGTTAATCAAATTTTCTAGTTAACTAAAGTTCAGAGCTATCCCTAGAATATGGTGAACCAGAGCTACTCTCTCTCAAAGGACACAAGAAAAACTGGCAAGTAGCTGAGTAGAGTGGCATCAGGAAATTGCCTGTTTTATTTTGGGGGAGGGGCAGTGGAAGGCAATGGCTCCCTCATCTGGTGATTTTAAAAAGCAACAAAAACCATACTATAAACTTTTACTAGCAAATCTAGCAGTAGTATAGTTACTGTCCTCATGTTGCCTTTCTACTCATAATTTGCTCTCATTTCTTCTGTTGTTCATATTTCAATATGCCATTTCATAATATTAATGAAGTGAGAAAAAGAATCCACAGTAAGAAGTCATGGCACAAATTATGATTTGACATGGGACTCCTATGTACCAATAAAGAAGGTCTCTATTGAGGATGAAATAATCCTTTGTTGGACTCTTATGGTTAGAAATCTTTGTCAGCTGCATTGTTCTAAATACTTTGTGTAATAAGAAAAGTTCATTAGACATGATTCAATAATTCTGTAATTATTTTTACTTAAATCTCTGCATATTTTTTCTTATTTATCTAATTGCCTCAAAGGTTAAGGATAGTAATTATGTTTCCAGTCAGTTGGGTAGCAGGCAATGAGGTTTCAGAGAATTAACCTATCTGCTAGAAAAGACTATACAAAAAATATGTCAAGTATTTTAGTTTTATTCCACAAAATATTTGTTAACATCAATTACCTTTACACATGAGGCTGACAAATCTTTTGTACATGAACTTCCTGAAAATATTTCTCTAACAATCCATGCACATGTTTTGCACTTTCACAGGGTAGGTTAAAAAGACAGTTAATATCCCTAATTTTAAAACTACTCCATTGTAGGTTTACCTTTTATCTCAGCATTTGAAGACGAAGTAGAGCCAAATGCTGTGCAAAGAAGAAGAATATATAGGCATCTGGTATCCAAATGATTGAAAGCCATTTCTCCAAGATTTAATACCCTGAAATTTCCACTCTAAGAAGGAAAAATATAACATTTTAACTTCATCTTACTTGAAGTAACCAAATGACTAAATGTGACAAAATACATTTTGGAACTCTCTGCATGCTTTTACCTGTAATTGGGAAAACTGCCCCTTTGAACCATGGAAACAGAAAAATCAAGTTTGGAACCAATATAATTAGAAAGGGAGGATTCTAGTCTCATCCCTCTTATAAGAGTAAAATAAAAGCAAAACAAACATAAAATCTGTATCCTTTCACTTCCCAGCACACCCCCCAACTCTCCCACCCCCACCCCCATACTTTTCCACATATCACATGCTATGGCCAGTATGGGATAACTTCAAATAGCTTTCAGCCTGAAGACTAGGCCAGACCCACCAATGTGTTCTGTCGGTTCACAGGGGGAGTTATATCATTAGTGTCCATAGCAATCCTCTTCCCCAGCATCCAAGAAAATATGCTAATACATATCCTCTTTTTTGAGAGAAAAAGTATTTTAAAGCTATCTGACTAATGAGAAAGCTCAGAACCTAGACCAAAGCCTCAGATAAAACAAAACTTTCCTGTTTTTTATAAATATTAAGTATCATCTTCTACTCTCATATCTGTTCCACTCTTCCCTGTGTTTCCTGTATCAGTAAATGGTACCATCTTCTTCCCAGCTGCCCAAACTAGAAACCTGGGAGTCTTCCTGAACTCCTCCCTCTCTGATCCAATCTCTCCATTATCACTACCCTTTCCTAAATTGAGGATCTTACCAGGAATCTCTTTATCTAGTCTTTACTGCCTCCACACCATTGTCCACACCACAGACAGCAAGAATGACCTTTCTAAAGGGCAAATCTGAACTTATCACCCCTTTTTAAAAGAGTGCTTCACTGCCACAGAATACAATTTAATCATCTTTGTATTCTTGAGGAATACTAGTTTTATGATCAAAACTTTAAAGTCATGTCTCCCCTACCTACTCAATCAAAAATTACTTACTCTCCTTCTAAAGAAAAATCACTGCTCCCAGTTCTATACTTCTCTTTGAGTCTTTATTCCTGAAACCAACAATTTCACAGAAAGTTAAGGATTAAAGGCCACTTACCCCAACATTCATGGACTACCTTTCTTTTCTCTACATAAATTAAGCAGGACAGATTCTCTTTCCCCACCCTCTTCATCCTACCTGGTCCATCTGCAATGTTCTAATGTTGATAGGCTTCAATTATTACATAATAGAATCTTAGGACTAAACTGTTAGAGCTAGCAGGTATATTGAAGACAATGCTAACCCATTCTCCTTTATATATTGGGAAGTAAAACTCATACTTGCCCAAGATTACACAGCGAGTTAGTAACAGAGTTGGAATTAAGACAGAGAGATGATTCCCAATCCAGTTCACTTCTACCTTACTATGCTGAGTCCTGCACATTTGACTCAGGATTATGAAAGTTTTTCCTCTGGGACGCCAGCATTTAAGTCTTCCTTCAATTAGCTAGCCAGGCTGAATCAGCACCATGCTATTTTTCTATGTCTCATAAAATCATAAGAGGATACCATTTCCCTTACTGAGGTCCAATAAAGCTCTGTCCTCAATTTCTCCCACCCTGCTCACCAGCCAACTGCTGCCCTCTAAAGCATCTGTAAATAGTACGTAGGTTTGGTTATAGCAGAAGGCCACAGACCTTCCACAGAGCTGAACATACTGGTTACTTCTGGATCCAAGGCAATAGGTTTCACAAAGAGAAATCCTTTCATGTTACCTCTAAGGTCTAAGACAAGCAGGCTTCCCTTAAAATGCTCTCAGAGTGATCTTAAAGTACTCTCTCCCCTATCAATCTGTCCTTAATTTTTCATAGCCCCATGTCATGTACAGCATAAATTCTAGGTAAACAGTTAAAAATCACTTGCTTCTGTTCTATTTATAGGCTACTGAAATTTGACTCAGTACCAAACATTTCCTGGATCAACCCAACACATTTAAGCAAAGGTAGGAAATGGGATAGCTGCCTTTCTGAGTCACTTACCTATAAACCCACAAAAGGAGTTCCTGAATTACACCTAGGGTCCCACCTAGACTTTCTTACCCAAATAAACACGAAGACCACTCTTTACTTGGCTTCTAGGTTACAGGATTGTCACTAGTGCAGTGAGGTGCTTTATCTACTATATGATTACCAGGAAGGACAGAGGTTTTCACATGAAGGGCCAGGGACCTGCAGACAGAGGGAAGATGGGGGAGGAAATGAGGACATACACAATTTGAAAAGTTTTTGGTATACTGATATGCCCAGCCCCAGCCCACAGTTAATCGCTCATCTGGTCTTAACTCTGTATTTTTTAAAATGAGGAAATACCCAGAAAGGAAAGTGAATTGCCCAGGCTCATACAACTTATTGGTGGCAGAGCTAGGACTGAAAACCAGCTCTCTTGAGCCCTTTCCACTGACTAGGAAATATATCATCTTCTTATAAGGTGTCCATCCTGCAGCTATCTTACTGGAAGCCTCCCCATGAACCTTTCTCAACCTATTGTCATCACCCAAACCATCGGCCCCACCACAGAGTTTTATTATCATGACATTTTGGCAGAGTAATAATTCAATAAGCTTTCACTGAGCACTTATTTTTTCTGCCAAATACCATTCCAGCTAAATCTTGTCTAACATATAAGGTATAAGTGATAAGTCATATCCATAACAGAAACAATACTTTCTACTATTTATTCAGCATTCACAGCATCCCAGGCACTATGCTATGCTAGGCATTCTACATACATTATTTCATATAATACCCAGAGTCAGCTTTGGACATACAAACTATTTTTATTCCCATTTTAAAGACAGAAGCTGAGACATATGAGAAATTAAATAACTTCCCACAAGTCACATAGACCATAAATGGTGAATCTTGGATTTTAATCCAGACATCTAGTACCAGAGCCCTTGATGAAAACTACATTAGGCATTTTCCATGCCTAAGATTAATGTGGAGAGCAGCTTCCTGTTTCTAACTACTCAGTTTCACACAACACTATTGCTCAGACAGTTTCCCACTGAGGATCTCTGGAACAGCAAGCCTAAAGCTATTTCCTGTTTTCAGACCCACTTCCCCACCTCCTTAAAGACAAACTACATAATCCCCTTGTTCTAAGAATTGGCTGGGATAATCCTTGCATAATTGGAGAAATTCCAGGTACTTACCAATAACACAATTTCTCAAGAAATGAATTATCATAGGCAATTATCACAGGCCCTCTTTTTTCTCCTCTCCACTTTAGAGGCATTAATTAGAATCTCTAATACTTCCCTTCCTGTCTGATAATCAAGCACACTGAAAAAAAATAGACAGGTGTTCCTGAAACAGCCAGCAGGCCAGGTATTGATTCTACAAATCACAAGATAGGAGAGGTTATGGGTTGGGCGAAAAGCCACTTAAAGCAAATTTAGAATCACAGCAAGGTACAGTAAAAGCTGACAGGACTAATTATTCTTTGGATTAACTAACATGTATAGCTGAGGAACTTGTATAATAAAAAGGCACAGTGGGAAAGAAACTATGGCACTCCATACCATGGAATACTACTCAACAATAAGGAGGAATGGACTTTTCATACACACAACAATTTGTATGGACCTCAAAGGCATTATGCTGAGCAAAAAATAAATCTAGTTCCCAAAGGGTCACATAAAAAAAAAGGCATAATGGGATGAATACCAACCTGGATTACAGCCCTGCCTCAACTACTTATGTTCTTGAGTTAAAGTATAATTGAATTTCCATCTATAAAATGAAGGTAATGACATCAGCCTGGCAGGTTTTTTTCTGAAAATTAAATGAGATAATGTATGTGAAAGTGTTATGAGAATAGGAAATTGCTCTATCAACTTAAGAGGGGTTTGCTTCAGAGCACCTTGTTACTAAGAAAAACCCTGAAAATAACTTCTCTCAACCTACACATCTGCTCCTACTAACTCAGCAAAATCGACCTGTCTGCAGTTGATAACCAAGCATTTACTATTAACCTCCAACTTCCACCACCCTTGTTGATCCTTTACTGATCTTTGTCTTAATAACAATAATTGATTCCATTTGTTTAGCTTTTTATAGTTTACAAAGAATTTATTGGATTATTTTAACAAATCTGCAGGTGTATAAGGTTGGTATTGCATATTTACAATAGGTAAAACCGGGGCTTAGAGACGTGATATGACTTGCAAAAGATCCTATAGCTGGTACAGCCTGTACTGAAAGGAAAGGTAAAAAGGAAGTTAAGGGACAGAAAAATGTTGCAAGGCCAAGAATGCAGTCACTTATATAATAATATGGCTTTGTAGAAAAGTTCCTTCTCTACCTTGACAAAGAAAAAAAAATTTGTCCAAAGTATCTGTAATGACCACAAGTTCTTCTTTTGTTCATAAAGGCAGTGACCAGGTTGCAGACAAACAATTTTTTATTGGAAACTGCTGAATGGAGTTTTGCAGTGTCACTAAAGTGGCTTCTTAAAAAACACAACCACCTAAAAGAAGTATGGCCATGTCATTTCTGTTGCCATTGTTAAAAAAAATCAGTGCTATAAAATTTGATACATTCCATTCACATTATTTAAAATACCTACGAATATCAACCAAAGCAATTAGAATAGCACTTGGAGAAAAAGAAAATGGAAAAAAAAGAGAAGAAGCAGAGCTTGAGAAGAGAAAGATGGAACAGTAGGGTTACTGCAAAGGCTTGAGTGTTGTCTAATGGAAGAAATGATAAATGTATCATGGTCTTACACAAGGAGATATTGATTAGGAAATCTGGGCTCTAGCACAAACTTTGCCAGGGAATTTAGAAAAAAAATACATAGATAGATAGATAAACAGATAGATAGATAGATAGATAGATAGATAGATAGATAGATAGATAGATAGATACTGTAGTTATTAAGCTTTTACCAGTTATCAAATTCTGTGCCAAATACTTGATATGGATTAGATCACTTAAGTCTCACAAAAGTTGATAGTTACTATTATTCCAATATTACAAATGAGTCATTTGAGGCTCAGAAAGGTTCAGTAAATTACTCAAGGTCATACAACTTAAGAAAAAATGAGTACATATGATTCTAAAGACCATGCTCCTTTTAATATATCAGCCTATCTTTCAACTAACCTCACTTTAGTGAGGCTCAATTTCTTCTCACACATTATCCCTGAGATATCATCCTATGTCATCTGTTAATCTGCTGTGTATGCATCCGTGGTTTCAGGATGCGAATCTAAAGAACTGATTTCCTGAGTAACTAATCTTGTTTCAAGGAGACCATCCATGTGAACAAATGTCCATTCCTGGCCATGACTCGGCATCATAACCTCTGGCCTGCCAGATCTTGAGGCCTGACAACATGCTGTGATCAATACGTGGCTCAGTAGCACTACAAACAGCCTATGAATCCATGCTGAGTCAAATCTAATTTAGATAATAACTAGCAAATAATATGCCCTGAAGTGGAGGAGTTTGTAAAGAATGCTGAAGATGACTGTGTACTTTCAAACACAGTACGACTTTGAATTAGACAGATTCACAATGCTTGCGACCAGTCTAATGTAAGCCATTTTCCACAAAAGTACACAAAGAAGTTAGGCATGTGCTGAATGATGAAAATCACTGTAGACACAAAATACGGGTAGGATCTCTTTTTAACAGTTATCACTTTATCATCCAGTTATATAAAACATGATTATATTTGTGTCCCTGCCAACATTACATACTAAGATTGTTTATTGATTTTTATGAAATACGTTCAGTAAATCTTGTGAAACACAGTCATCTTACACCCTGATTTTTTAGATGGTTTTCTACATGACATCCTGAGTTTATCCAGCTAAAATTTCCTGAAGCACTGTCAAAGCTAGACAATTAGGTTTTGAGCTATCATAGCTATTGCCAGGTACACAGTGCTAATTCAAGGAGCAGTTTACACATTTCAGAATCTGTCTCTAATCTGAACAGATCAGAACTTTATACATTTATAATCACATTCAAAAAACCACCAATAGGCTTTTACAACCCTTTAAAAAAAATCCCCCAGGTCATCAATTATCAATTTCCTAAAATAGGTCAAATTATTTTTTAACATACCTTACATTCTAGTCAAATGAATTCACAGCTGAAGAGCAATGCAGTATTTTCAAAGGCACTTCTCTGGAACTAGCAAAATAATCTCTTTTGTTCAACACCCTTCTCCCCACTCCCAGATGCTCCCAGATACTTGTTAGCAAGCAAACACTGTGTACTGAAAACATTCCCTTCATGTAACTTCAAAAGTAAGTAACACAGTGTGCCCCACCCCCTCCATACTAAGTAAAAACAGAACACAAAATGCACAATAGCAGGTTTGATATTACTTCAAGGTTATTCAACAGTATGCTCTTTCATGTCCATGAAGTATAAACTATAAATACATCAAAATATGGTATTGTATCATATATAGTACCATCAATTTTGGAAGAGAATATTAACAAAAACATACATGCATTTCTATCATCTGTCTGTTATTCAACAATTTTTTTGGAAGCCTACTACATGCCAGGCATAGTTCCAGCAGCTGGGGATACAGCACTGAACAAAAAAAAGAACCTGCGCTCTCAGAACTAACTTACTGGTATGGAAGAGAGACAATCAACATATCAGATAATTATAAGCTCTATGAAGAAAAATAAGGCAGGATAATATGAGCGTAATGGGGGTTCATTTGGGATAATGTGGTCAGGGAATGCCTCTCTAAAAAAAGTGACATTAAGGACATCAGTGAAATGAGGGAATGAACCAGGTGAAGATAGGAGGAATCTTCCAGGTGGAACGAACAGCACATTCAAAAGCCCTGAGGTGGTAATCAGCTTACTAGTCCTAGGAATAACACGACCAGTGAGACAGGAAACAGAAAAGTTTAGATGATCCCACTTAGACAGGAAGACTGTAGGTCATGGTAATGAATTTCCCACTTATTTTTAGTAGAAGAGTAAGCAACTGGACAATCTTGAGTAGAATGACATGATGCAATTTACATTTTAAAAGGCTACTCTGTTTAGAAGGAAAGGATAGAAGCAATAATCAGGCTAGAGTTGATGACTTGGACCAAGTGGATATAGCAGTGGAGATGCTGATAGGATTTACTGATGGATTGACTGTGAAGTGTCACAGGATTATGCCTCTATTTTTGTAATGGGCAA